GAAATAAAAATAAAAAAATAAAACAGTGCTTTGTCTTCATCACCAACTTGATCATCCAAATTCTTCAAATCCGTAATAATTTTGTTGAAGTTATTTAGGTGTTCGTTCATCGAAATACCTTTAATGTAGTCGAAACGAAACAACCTCTTCCTCAAGTAGAGCCGGTTCTCAATGCTCTTTGTCATGAACGTATCTAACTTATCTTCCAGCGCTTCCAAAGCTTCTTCGTAATATCATATTCTGTTAAAGGCATACTTCTCCTCTTTTGCAAGGCAAAGTCGGATGGAACTGCGAGTCCAGGAGATTCACCTCTCCATTCTATCTCGTCCAGGTCATCTGGTTTGTCTCCCAGAGTGAAGTGCAGGTTATTTGGACAAGCATATCCTTAACTTCGCATCTCCACATGCCGAAGTTGGCTGCTTCCATCGAACTTCTCTACTCTAACTTGGCATGGACACCGGGTCCAATGCCTAGAAGTGCTTTGTATGGCTGAATTACTTACGGACTCGGTTGATCTAGATTCTGCCATTTTTTGAGAAACTTCAATTCAAAAAAAAAAATTGACCGTACAGATTGTTCCGGAATACTCAAATAGTTGGGAACACTATTGGATCGTCAAAACGGACTCCGAATGGCTCCAATTGGCAAAAACCACTTTGGACGGGTCAGATCTGCAGAATCTGGTGCGCTGAGATGCATCGATAATTTCTCTGGTCAACGGCTCGGTCAACGGCGCAGGCGGCGCGGTCAACGGAGGATCGCGGCGCGGTCAACGCGGCTTGACGGGCTGGTCAACTCGGCCTTGACGCACGCAGTCAACTCGCTCGGCTGGTCAACCGCTTGGTCAGCGGCTCAGGCTGACTGGGCAGGGCACGTGTCCAACACGTGGCTGACGTGTCGGCTGACTAGGTCGTCTTCTTCACTGAGCGGCGCGTGGAGCGCGTGTGGCGCGTGGGTTTCACGCGCAATCTTCTCTGGGCGTGACGGCGCGTCGAAGCTCCTCCGGGCTCTGTTTTTGTTTTCTGGACTCCTCTCGGGGAGTTCTTCCTCCTGGTATGGTCAAAAGTGGATTTTGAGCACTTCGAAATCTGGGACTTTCGGGAAAAATTCGATTTTCGCAACCCGAGCTCTGTACCAATTGTTGCGGATCGGGGGCACACCAGGGAACTCAAACAAGCAATAACACATCAAGATTTAACTTGGTTCGGCAAGTCGCCTACGTCCACGGGCAGCGATTCACTATATTGAACAAAAATGGTAAGAATTACAACACTCTCTGTAATTCTCTCTCTCTCTTTGCTCTAAGCTCACACCTCTCTGTTATCTCAGCTGTACCTCTCAACTCTCCTTAGCTTCTCTATATATGAGATTACAAATGCAAGAGAAAGTCTTTGAAATGAGCTGGCTGCCAGCCATTATTGTGCTTTCGGTGGCTTTCCAGATTGATGCTTCACATGGCTTCTCATGGCCTCATGGCCAACTCACATGGCCTCATGGCTTCCCCACCATGTAGCTGGCTGCCACTTTCCATCACATGGCCAGAATCTGTAGCCAATATTCAACAAAAACATGCAAGTGTTCCATTTATTTGAGTTTAGTTTGTATCATATTTTTTGCAATGTCAAGGAAGGCTCCCTTTTGAAGAGACCTTTGGCAATGTCAGGTAAATGATATAAAAATCATAAGTAAATCTAAGGGTCTGTTTGGTTTAGATTTCAAAATATAGTTTCACCATTGATTTAGTGTTGTATTTGGTTGCAGTTTTCAAATCATAATTCTACGCCCATTTCTCAAAACTCATTTCAAACTATAATCATTACTTTTCAAAACTCATAACCAAACACACAACTTAAAACTCTTTTTCAAAACTCAAAAACAACTTAATTTTTATTTTAAATATTTTTTTAATTTTTATTTTTAAATATTTTTAATATTTTAATTTTCGTAAAAATATTTTAATATTTTAATTTTAATATTTTATATTTTAATTGTAAATATTTTGATTTTCGGAATATTTTTAATATTTTAATTTTCGGAATATTTTTAATATTTTAATTTTCTAAATAATTTAAAAATATTTTTAATATTTTTAATGTTTATACAGGCTTAAAAAATGAATCGACAGAATAATTAATTGACATAGAAGTTATTTGAAAAAAAAAATTATTTGAAAACGATTAATTGAAAAAAAAATCATTTTTTTATTTGAGTATTTTAAAAATAGTTCGGTTATGACTGTTGATCAAAAATACGGATTTCGAGTTATAAGTTGTGTGGTTGATTATCAATTATACGTTGAATTAAGTTTTGAAAACTATTTTGAAAACTTATCACTAAACAAATTTTCTTATTTCACATGTTACATTAAACTTTCAAAACTCAATTCCACGTATAATTCAAAACTCAATTCAACATTCTATTCAAAAACCATAACCAAACAAATTTTCTATACTCAAATTATAATTCCACAACTCACAAACTCAAAATACAACTCATACGCTCAAATCATATTTACAAAACTTTACCAAACGTAACCTCAATTGCTCATGTTGTCATGCTGTTCTGTAATTCTGGTGGTAATGAGCTCTTGAAAGTTGAAACTGCTTTAGAAGATGCACACAAATCACATGTAAAGACTTTTTTTTGGTGTTCATCTTGTAATTAATCTTGATTTGATACCATTTGAAAGTATGCAAGTTGATTAGATGTACAGATTTAAATATAAATTTGTAGTTGACTCATGTAATCGACAGAGGTTTATTAACCTGATTATTATCCCGAAGAGAGTTTTGATACTATGATTATTTTTACGAAGTTGAATTTTACTGTTCAGCCATAAAGAGATAAAGAGGTGCAATAGTAAAAACTCAAGCTGTATAGTGTGAGAATACTGCTTCAAGTTTGTAGGAAGCTACTTTCTGCAAGTGCAAATGTTGCCAAAGGTTACTCTATCCAGTGCACCCTTATATAAACCCTCGGGTTTATGGGACTTGACTGCTTGTAGTGGCCTTTGCATTTTACATTATCCATATGTATTGAAAGTAGCATATTAATTTTGATTTCTATATATTACAGACAATGACAGACACACATGAGAAGCAACATCTCAATGCTTGACAATTTCATTGTAAAGCAAAGCTAGATTTTACCAAAATGTGAAAAGCTCAATCACTTCTTGTTTCAAGGGTTCCATAAAATGTTGTTTTAAAAATAAATGAAAAATAACATGCTGGTATATTTCATAAAACGCATGGCATATGCTAAATATACACCATAAATGTAGTTTCTAAATTATCTTGGAAACATGATATAAATGACCTGTAGTTAACATCATCTATATTTTTGGCAGTATTTTCTGTATCAGTTGTTGCGGGGACTGAAATACATACATTCTGCAAATGTATTGCACCGAGATTTGAAACCAAGTAACTTGCTTCTCAATGCAAACTGTGACCTCAAGATTTGTGACTTCGGGCTTGCAAGAACTACCTCAGAGACAGATTTTATGACAGAATATGTTGTAACTCGTTGGTATAGAGCTCCTGAATTGTTGCTCAACTGCTCAGAATACACTGCAGCCATTGATATTTGGTCTGTTGGTTGCATCTTAATGGAGATTCTTAAGAGGGAACCACTGTTTCCAGGTAAAGACTATGTCCAGCAGCTGCTGCTTATAACAGAGGTACCCCCTTCTGCAGAAATATATAATTTTTTCCCATAGATTTAACATGAATGGATTAGTGTAATAATATGCATATTGTTTAGGCTTCTAATACTTGTAAAAGTAAATGGGTCCAAGTTGCACATCTACAGTGGATTCACCCCCAAAAATGTTTCATTTCCCAAAACAGTTGTTAGGTTCACCAGAAGAATCTGATCTCGGATTCCTGAGGAGTGAGAATGCTCGAAAGTATGTCAAGCAACTCCCTTGTGTCCCAAAGAAGCCTTTCTCACACAAGTTCCCAGATGCGTCCCCAATAGCCATTGATCTTGCGGAAAGGATGTTAGTTTTTGATCCATCTAAACGCATAACCGGTATGGCCCCTTGTATTTATTGATCCTACGAACATTTTGTCATTTCATGTTATCATTATTTTACCGACAAATGATTCTTGTCACCTGATATGTATGAAGTTGAGGAAGCATTGAATCATCCATTTTTATCGGGTCTCCATGAGATCAATGAGGAGCCAACTTGCCCATCTCCTTTCATCTTTGATTTTGAACAATCATCTTTGAGTGAAGAGGACATAAAGGAGCTCATATGGAGGGAGTCCCTCAACTTCAGCCCGGATGAGTAATCACAACGATTTTCTTCCGTGTTTCTATCGTTTAGTTCATTAAACTCTTGAGTGTTTGATTTTGGATTGGATGGTGAGTACATATATAATATGTGATTTGAGTTTTGGTACAAGCAGAGTGGTCAAGGAGATAGGTTCTTCAATGTATTGACTGGCTGCTGGGAGGCTGTGGTTGTTGGTATAATATTGGGGCTTTGCTTCATTCTCTCTTCGAGAGTCTGCCCCATGATGAATTTGTATGCAAAAAAGAAGGTTATTAGCCTAGCCTTCATTTTTTATTTGTATTGTATATTTTGAATTGAGTTTTATTAATACAATAGTAGAAAATAGAAAATAAGAAAGTACTCATGCTGCTATTTCATTTAATTCCTATTAACTACATATGTTCATGGGAAATTGGATTTATTATAGTTTATTATCCTGCCCTTCAATTTTTATTTATTATTTATTTATTTATTATTTATTTTTTGGTATTAGTTGATTTGTTTTGAACTAGCAATGAAATTGATGATTGAGCCTGTTGTGTTACTAGTTAAGAGTTCAACAACAAACATGAAATTCAGGCCTCCTTTGGCATATGAGTATTTTAGCTTAAAAGTTTAAAAGTTATGAAAAAAATCAAAAAATTTATACTAAAAAGTCAAAAATTATATTTTCTTTCTATTTTTTGTATATCTTTTTGTAAAAAAATTAAAAAGTCATTTCAAATATAGTAGTTTTTTTTTATCTTATATTTTAATCAAAAAAATTATTAAAATAGCTTGTTCTTAAACGAGGTCTTATTTAGGTCGTGTTTGATTTATGAATTTTGGAAGGAATTTGAAAAGATAAGGGAAAATGATAGGTGAAATGTGAATAAAATATATTTAAATTTTATTTAAATTTCACAATTCATTTTTCTTTTTTTTAAAAAAAAAAATCTCTTTAAATTCATGAATCAAACAGTCTTATGACTTGTAACACTTGCTTTTTTTATTTGGAAAGATAATTAAAAGTTACTTTTTGATTTTTTTTAATTTTTTTGTGAGAGGGAAGATCAGTTAAAAATTGAGAAATGACTTTTAACTCACATTGAGCCAAAATATCTTAGTGCATGTTTGGCAATTCACTGAAGCAGATTGAAGTGTTTCTTTTAATTATTATTATTTTTATATCCCTCTCTGGTAATGGTTACTTTGTTAAATCCGAAATGAATGGTATGGTACTTCACACTAGGCCATTTTGGTTGTAATTACTGTTCACCAAATTAGGGGAATGCCAGGTCCGTTTGGCAGTGCACGTTAAAAACCAAAAAATGTATTTGTACCACTGGCCTTGTGCCAAACTGGTATACTCTTCAACCTGTGGAGTTCAAGTCTCATGTAGGATATTGGCCGTGATTTCTTCTTTTTATGTGGGTTTCTTCTCTTATAAAAATGGTGAGATTTGTTTTTTTTATGTGAGTTTGGACTTAAAAAAGTCACATTTTTTGCGGAATTAGGCCAAGTTTGGGAAGTGTAAAAAAGGTTAAAAAGTCAAAAAGTTGCTCAAAAAGTTAAAAAGTTATCACTATTCACTAAAAGTCAAAAATTACGGCTGCACAACTCCCAATGCTAATTTTTTCCTACACACTAATTTATACAATTTTTTAATACACATTTTTTCATAAAAATTTAAAAAGTTAACCCAAACATTCATATTTTTTTTCTCAACTTTTTAGTCCAAAAATACAAAAAGTGCACTTATTTAGGACACCTCAAACAACCCCTTATAGTCTTAAGTATTTTTTTTTCTTGTGCTATATATATATATATATATATTTAGGTTTGTCTAGGGCAAAAAGAATAAAAAAAATAAACAAAATGTGAAAAATCCAAAAAAAAAAAATTGTTTTTTTGGTTTTTTGTATTTTTTAAAATTAAAATTTTATATTTTTTTAACCCATCTATTCGAATAAAACTTAAAAACTATAAAATATTTAATGTTTTTACTAAAAACTAAGAAATAACAAAAAAAATAACTTAAAAAAAAGTGAATATCAGACACCCTAATTGTATATATTGTAATATTAGTTACAATACAAAGTATTATTTATTTATGAGATAATTACCAAAAAAAAAAAAATTAAAGTTAGACCTTGTAAAAAATAAATCTTAAGTTTTTAGTTTTATCAATTTAAATTCTAATCTTTTAAAATGTTTTCAATCTAAACTATAAGCTTATTTTTGTTAAGCAAAATAACAAAAAAATGATATTAATCATTGAACTTAATATAAGTGTATATAAAATGTCTAAAATATTATTTTTGTTGACTTTAATGAGTAAAATATAATTTTTCTATCGATTTTAGTTAATAAAAATAGACAAATAATTAGTTTGAAAATAAATAAAAAAATTTTAAAAAATAAAATTTGTTTTATTATAAGGGTTAAATTCTAATTTTTTTTAATTACTCCTCTATTTATTAGTAAGAATTTGTTAATCAATACCTTACGCCAAAATGAGTGCTTTTAGACCCTCTCTAATATTTCATCAAATTTGAATTTGATGAAAAACCTGTTAAATCTGAATTCCTATTTCATCAAATCGATTTTAAATAAAAGGAGAGTTAAATTTTTCATTAAATTAAGGAACTTTTATCTTTTCATCAAATTTTATAGGTAGTTGTTAGATCAAATGTTCGTCCGAACATTCTCCCAAACAATTGAACTTCTTTTTATTATATCTAAATGTCAATTTTCACTTATGGCTGAACATTTGTTCGAATATCCTCCCGAACATCATCTTGAATAATCAAACTTATAATAAAATTTGATAAAAATCTTAACAAAAATGCTAGAGATTTTAAAATTCTATCAAAATTTTTACTATGCCTCGCATAAATGTAAGACGCACATGATGTATATAAGACATTTCGTAAAAATTTTAATAGAACTTTGAAATTTTTAACCTTAAATTTTAAATTTATCATTAAAATGTATTATATCAATTAAATTTTTTTATCAAGTTTTTACTTGATAAAAAACGTTGAAAATGCTGTTATCGCGCTTGTTAAGTTAAGCAAACCCTTTATTATATATTTACACTTGTTTTGGTTTCTCAATCATTTTCCGCCTTCTCTCTCCCCGCCATTGAGTCGAAACGGAGTGCTAGACACACTAATGCTGTGTTTGGTTGGAGTTTTTGAGGTGAAATTTAGAAAAAGAATGAGAAATGTAATCTTATTTATATTTGGTTATAATAAAAAATATATAGGAAAAGAAAGGGAGTGAGAAATAAATAAAGAAATAGGATACCTTTTAGGACATCAATTCTATTTTATAACCAACACAACCAAACATAGTTGGAATTTGAAATTCTATTAATTCTTTCTCCTTTATCTTTCATTTACATTTCCCTTCCATTTCCCTTCCCAAATCCCCCAACCAAACGCGGCGCAAAGACAATTGTGAGAGAGTTTAGAAGAGTGATTTGAAGATCCAAGGGGCGAAGAAGAAGGCGATGAGGTTCTCCCAAATCTTCGTGAAGGCTTCTTCTTCTTCTTCTCACAGCCGAAACAGATCAGCTTCAGCTTCTTCGCTGCTGCTTTCCACTGCCTCACGTTCCTTCTCACACCTTCGCTCTCCATCCCAACGGTTCGTCCTCTTCGATCCAAATCCGTTCTCATCTTCATCTTCATCTTCATCTTCATTGTTAGATAATTACAGTAAATTATGATGTTCTTTTGTTTTTGCGTTGTGCGATTATTCATCAGGCCATCTTTCGGCATTGCTTTCGACATCGACGGCGTCATTCTTCGCGGCAATACTCCCATCGGAGGATCTCCTCAAGCTCTCGGAAGATTATATCACGATTCATTCGGTACATTTTGATTAACAACTTTCTTCAATAAATTCATGTACATATATATATATATATATATGTTGAAATTATGCAGAAGTTAAGGCAGAATAGGTTTTGCTTTGTGATTTCCGGACACTTTTAATTGTCTGTTTGGTTCCCGAGAAAATGTGAGGAAGCAATAAAGGATAATACGGAGACATCATAACTGTTTCTTTTTTTTTTACAGCAAGCAAACAGAATTGGACATTTATTAGTTGATATTCAATAATTTTAATAATCTCTAATAACTGATAATTTTTTGAAGAATCAACTATGTTCCAAAGTGATTACTTAATATTTCAATTATTCAATAATTACTAATTTTTCAAGAAAAATCTTTTTATGTTTTTAATTATTAGAATGGGAAATAAACATGTATATGAGTGTGTAATTAAAAACAATTACTATTAGCATCAGTTTTGTTACTATAAATAAAGTGAATGTTGTATTATTATAAACAACTTAGCCTTTAAAAGTACATATTTTTTCCCAGAAAAATTTATTACGGTTAATACAAGAAGTGCATGTTGTATTTTTAAGCTAACTTGCTTAACCATGAACAAGTTTTTCCTTTATTGAAAATAAAGAGGAAATTTAGTACTTAATAATTGTCAGGTCTACAATGTTTATTAGTTATTAGAGATTTGACTGTAGAGCGTAAATGTAATTTTACTCAATTTGAGTTTGGATACATTGTATTTGATTGCACATAATGGAGCAACAATGAGTTTTTAATGATGGAAAGAAATTCTTCTGTATATGACTGTAGTTTCAAAGCATTTCATGTAGGTAGTTATATCATAATTAACTTATTACTTGGTAATTAAATTGTTTTTGAAATTTATATTTATGACCAAAAAAAATATTAGAATCTTATGATCCTAAATCACAACTAATCAATGGTGCTTTATGTTGTATTTGTTTGTCAAAGTTTGCATATGTTGATCATGGTAACATGGTTCATATAGTCCTGTCAATTGATCACCAATCACTTAGTGGCAACTAGTTAATGGTTCTATCTCTTAATTAACTCTAAGCACTCTTGTTTTGTCAGGTACTTTGAAAGTTCCCTATGTTTTCTTGACAAATGGTGAGCCATTTGTCTCATCCTGTTGTTCCTTTGAAGTATTAATTGATATGACACAATTTTTCTGCATCGTTTTGTGTACTGATTTGTGTTGAGTTTCTCATGATTGGTAAGATAATCATAACATACTGGTTAGTGTATGCATGTTAAGTTTTCCCAATACCTTGTGCAAGGGAAGAGGATGGATAAACTATTTATGAACATCTAATATTGATTATGTTTATTAGAAATTAGAAGAGAATATTTCTTTCTGTCATTTGTTTCCCACGCACACAAAAACATGTGCACCACATATAACTGCACAAATTTGTCTTTTAATGATTTAAAGTTTAATCATTTACTTATAAACTTTCCACAAAAAATAAAAGAGCATGTTTCACTTTATGTTTTGGCAAAACAACATTTATACAAAGGTTTCTCTTGTTTTAATGGAAGTTAATTATTTAAGTTTTCCTGTGGGTCATTGATGTGATGCTTAGTAGCTATTTTTTTTTTAAAGGAAAAAAAAGAAAAAAAAGGGGAAGTTTGAAAGATATTGAAGCGGTGCATTATTAAAAATTTTAATTTTTAGTCTCTATTTTTTATTTTTTATTTTTTTGTGCATTCAAATTATTGACCGGATTCTTAAATTTTACAAACTGTTACATGCTCATATCAATATGTTTGAGATTGCTGAACTTTTAGTAAAATACTTTACTAATTTTATATTCCATAACTTAAATATGAAGATATCATTTACTTAACAATTACTTCTAAAGAATGTGAAAGCACTATTACTACTAAAGGTTCATTACATTGGTCGAGTTCGGAGGGCTCAAAAAGCGTCATCAAAGTGTCTGTAAAGTTTAGATATTATGAATTTAAATTATTAATTAAGACATGTCGAAAAAGGGTTGGAGACTCTTTTATGAGTGTCTATAGAGTGTCGTGCGACATGCTCTTCCATAGAAGTGTTAGTGCTTCTTAGATGAAAACATTTTACTAGTTATGGTTTCTGGCTTGTCCTCTGAATTTTTCCTATTTTATTGAAACTGATGTAGTTGCAATTATTCCTCAAGGGGTTAGTCTTGCAATCCCTGTCAAAGAAAACTCATAAAGAACAAATGCAATATCAGGTTTTCAAATGTGATGCATATAGGCTAGAGTGATGGTATGTTTATGCGGTGTTAATTCATAATTGTCATCACCACCAACACTAGCATTGTTTCTGGTAATGTCATCTATGCCTTCTACGTGACCAACCTATACTCCCTCGTTTATCACCAAAATGTCACGCTCGTACTCCAACGATCTTAACCAGTCAACACATACCTGTCCACACCAAGACAAACAAAAAACACCACTACACACACACACACACACACTCCTATCATAATCTGCAGCCGCTTCAAATATTCAGTATGAGCTTAAACTGCTGTCTTTTGTAACCCTAAAAAGTTAAATAAGCATATCCTGGCACATTGATTATTTTTGTTGATTGTACCATATTCCAAAACCTTTTGTAGGTATATTAGAATTTTTCTAGAGAATTATGCACTTATAGGATTGTGTAGGATTATTAAACTAGTCATTTCTGTTGTAAATTGGTAGAAATGACAAATTCACTATTTTTCTTTCTTTCTTTCTTTATTTTTAATTTCGCCCCCTACTTGATCAGGAGGTGGAGTCCCTGAATCTAAAAGAGCCTTTGAATTGAGCAAACTTTTGGGTGTCAATATTTTACCTTCACAGGTGCAGTTATGAAGTTCTCAAAGATAGTATGGTTGCTGATTTTATGCTCTTTTTTTTTTCTTTCTCGTCTCTCTCTTTTCCATTTTATTTGAACCATATCAAATTCCTTGTACATATGATTTACTGGACTGATAGGATTCAAACATATATCTATACCAAAACTCATAGAATGGATTTTTCTTCCTCTCTTCCCACATTCAAAGTTCCCAGCATCTTTTGTTTTACTATCCCATTTGACTGAATATTGGGATGCAGGTTATACAAGGCCATACACCTTTCAAACAGCTGGTAAAGAGGTACATATTTTAACTGAGGCCCTGTTTAGCAAGTTGGGTTTTAGCTTTTTTTGGCTGAAATTCACAAAAAGATAAAATAAGCTAAAATAGCCAATAAGACAAAATATCATATCAAACTCATAATCATTTCACTTTTTCTCTCACAAATACAACATCCAACTACAAAAAAATCCAACCATCTTTCCAAACACAAAAAGTTTATTTTACTAAAATAGCCAAAAACTAAAATAGCCTATTAAAATAACCAACTTCCCAAACGAGGCCTGAGGTAATTCTGATTTAATCATGCAAACAAAATATAAAATATTCCTTACACAACTAGATATGACTAGAATGACTTGGCAAGAACATACTCATGCACTAGTTAAAAAAATTTAGGGTAAACTACCAATAGGTCCTAGTAGTTGGAAATTCCCATCAAGTCCTGTTGAAAATAAGTTCTAGTAAAATCGTCGCTAAAAATAAATTTTTGTGATATTTTTTGCACATGTCGTTAAAAATTGAAAATTGAAAATTGACAATTAGCGACTTTTTTTTTTGGTCATGATTTTTATAAATTGTTGCTAAAAATTACAATTAGTGACAATTTTGTGTGACGAATTTTTCAAACTATCGTTAAAAGTTGAAAATTAATGACTTTTTGTGACTTTTTTTAAATTGTCGCAAAAACTTATAATTAGTGACATTTTTCGTGACAAAATTTTCAAACTGTCACTGAAAATTAACAATTAATGATGTGTTTTAGTAGTGTTTAATGAAAAACGTCATTAATTATCATAGGATCTATTGGACAATAAGTTCACTTATTAGGACCTACACGTAAGTCCCCTTAAAAGTTATGTGAAGTATCATCAAAAGTTTCAATATTTATCGGGCAGTGTTTTTGATATCCAAAAGGCATTGACTTTAGCAAGGTAGTTTAAATAATCTAAATATTTCTTGTAGTAATGTTTCTAGCTAGTTGTACACGCAAGTCATTAATTATAATAGGACCTATTAGACAATAAGTCCACTTATTAGGACCTACACGTAAGTCCCTCTAAAAATTATGTGAAGTATCATCAAAAGTTTCCATATTTATCTGGCAGTGTTTTTGATATCTGAAAGGCATTGACTTTTGCATGGTATTTTAAAATAATCTAAATATTTGTTGACACGTTATTTGTTTATCAACACAATAATAATATCGGTTGACAATTTGCAAGTTGCTATGCTAATTCTAATAATTTGGTTTTTTTTTTAGCCATGCAATTTGCTATGCTAATTCTCTTAAACGAGCAACATTGCAATGAATGTCAACTTGGATACAAAACTGATATGGAAGTGCTGGTTCTTGTAGTAATGTTTCTAGCTGGTCGTACCAAGGACCTAAGAGTTCTTTAGGAGTCTAATGGGTACGTGGAGGGCTCTCCTCTTTTGCTAGCCCATTATCAATACCACCAGCTAAGATAGAGTGGGCTGCCATAGTGAGCTCACTTATTAGTTTGTCTGAAATTTAATATCATCTTGTGGGTATTTGAACCCACATGATGATATTAAATTTCAGACAAACTAGTAAGTCTTGGGGCCACCACTTTGTGCATTATGCCAAAGGTTAGGTGTGTACTCAATCTTTCCTTTCCCAAACACACATTAATATGTACTAATTGGGCATTGTTTTTTTGTGGGTTCAGATACAGCCCAAGTCTTTGTCTTTACAGTTGGGCCACAAGCAGTGGTAGAGTATGGATTTTAGTTATTGGGCCAGATCATCTTGGAACACAAAGTTTAGTTTGGTTAAAAAAAAAAATAAGATCAATATTTCAAAACTACTCCAATATCATACATGTCACTAAAAAAAATGATCTCAACATTAAAATCTATAGAACTCTCAAGTGATATAAAATGGAAGGAAAAAAATGTCAATTAAACACACGAAAGATGTTTTTTTTTAAAGTTATTTGTGAATCAAATAAGGAGCCAATCTTTGTCAATATTCTAACTAATGGTAGGTTCAGTTTGTTGGAAGAAGAATAAGAAAAATTTAAAGCGCATATCTATAATTTTAAAGGGAAAAAATGAAAATATTTTCAAAACCTAAGGTAAAAATGTAATTTCCCAAAAGTTGATGTAACGCAACAATGGTGATTTTGGAAAAGTAAGAGAGAGAAGAGAAAGTGAAAAAGTGATTTGAAAAGTCACAATTTCGGAACTTTAACCCAGGTCTCCGCTCGAGCGTAAAACACCCCGCTCGAGCGTCCACTCACAGACTTCCGCTCGAGCGGCCAACCTCCCGCTCGAGCGCAGAGTGCACTCGCCAAGCACTTTTGCAGAACCAGACCTCTGCTCGAGCTCCCAACCCTACGCTCGAGCGTACAACGCTGCACAGGAAAATACTGAATGGGTGTAATCTCCGCTCGAGCGCCAACACCTCCGCTCGAGCGTACAGGCCAAAAATCTAGGCAACTAGTTTTGGTTTCTAAACTCAACCATCCTGAAACAAATCCGCCCAACACATCCTATAACTCAAATACGAAGTAAAAGGATGTAAACAAAATAATAAACAACTACCAACATCCACGGACACATGTCCGGATCACGGTATAACAAGGGTAAACCCGAGATCGCTATAGTTGAGGGGCACCCCTCCTGGTTCCTTCATTAGCTCCACCTCTGGCCACAAGGTTGTATGGCCACCAAATTAGTACCCTCCATATGCATGTGATGTATTGGTTCCATGCGTAGTTATCTCTTAAAGTCTGTGTGTGTGTGTGTGTGTGTGATGTTTGATGCATCATTTCCGAAGTGTGAGTGCCCTAGCACCTAGGTTTGATTTCTGAGGCCTTCAATCTCCTACAAAGAAGCATGGACACGGACACGTGACACGACACGAATACGACACGGACACGCCGACACGTTAATTTTAAAAAAATGCAGGACACGACACGTGGCAGACACGCATGAAATATATAATTTTATATATTTATTATATGTTATATATATGAATATATCATTAAAAGATAATAAAAAATGCAATATAGCACTATTTCCTATAAATTTATATGATTTTTGTTTTATTATTGTATCTTAAGTTGTTTTGTTCAAACTTATAATTAGTTTTACATATCTATAATCAATAGACACATGTGTTTAAACAATTGACACGTGTGTCCTTCAAGTGTCCAAAGAGTGTCCGGGTTTTTAAAAATATTTAAAAAATAGGATACGTTTTAAAGAGTATCGGACACGTGTCCTAAGAGTGTCCAAAGAGTGTCGGTGTCCGACACGGACACGACACGGATACGTCACCTTCTTAGAAGTGTCCGTGCTTCTTAGATCTCCTATGATCTTGTCTCTGTTCTTCTGTAACCTTTAATGTACCATTCTCTTAATTGTCCAGCCTTTGATTTGGTCCTTACTGTAGAGATCCTACTTCATGGGCACTAAAGAGGTTTTATTAGTGGATGTTGCTTATGTTGTTAGGTATCACACAATACCTCATGTGATAATGAAAGTTTATGTATTATGTGCATCAAAAAGGAAAAGAGTTAGGGTACCAAAAAAATAAAGTCCTAATAAAAAAATGGAATCTAGATCTGTGCTGTCTTGTGTCTCAACCCTCAATCAACTACAACCTTCATGTTACAGATTTGAGAATGATCTCATTATTGCCGTGGGAAAAGGAGAACCTGCTACAGTGATGTCTGAATATGGTTTCAAGTAAGGATTTAGCCTCTCATTGTATTGCTTTATCTCTGTTCGTGCATTCCGTTTACTAAACTCCCTGTCATGGTCTGCACTTGTACTTTTGGTTTGCTTGTGTACTTATTGATATTGTTTCCAGAAATGCTTTCTCAATAGATGAATATGCATCTTGCTTTGACAACATTGATCCTTTGGCACAATTTAAGAAGTGGACAACTGGACATGTTAATCAGAACAACACTATTAGAAGCACTGCTTGCACACAGAGGGTGCATGCAGCATTCATTGTGAGTGATTCTGTTGACTGGAGCAGGGACATTCAGGTTCTTCCTCAATCTTGGTCCATTTGATAATTTAAACCTCTAGCTATGCTTTTGTGTTTGTGTTACTTTGTGGTCAATGATGTCTATAAAACATTAGTTCAATACTGAACAAATAGTATGAAGACACTGGGAACTTTTTTTTTTTGGGGGCTTGGTGAGAGAAGAATACACTAAAAGCATATGGGCTCTATTCTTTTTGTTGCTGAATTTATCTGTTTATGTTTTTGTTAAAATCCACCTACTCTCCACCTACTTCACCCACTTAAACCTACTCCACTAAACCTAACCCACTACACCACTACCACCTCACCTACTCCACTAAACCTAACCCACTACACCACTACCACCTCCACTTCACCTACTCCTTACCTACTACACACTCACCCTCTTCTATATATAGGAATCATGAATCATTGTAATAGATATCAATATATCAATCAATAATAATACATACAATTTATTCTCTCTTTCTCTATACATTATTTCTTACAGTTTTGATTATAAATAATGGTATGTACATTCCGTCATTTGTTTTTGATAGTATTAAAGCTTTGAACCCCAAGTTGACAGATAAATGGTTTTTAGGTTCTCTGTGACATTTTAAGAACTGGCGGTTTTCCTGGTAGGGAAATTGCACACCAACCTTCTTTGTATTTTGCAAATGATGACCTTGAATACCAGGTTAGTTATGATGTTATCTTTTTCATCAGCCTTTGTTTCTGGGTTTTTTTTGTGAGTTAATGTCTTCTAAAATCTGATAATGTACTGATGAGGTGACATGATAGGTAGGCTGTATTTCCATCTGAACGACTAGGTATGGGTGCTTTCAGAATTGCATTAGAATCCATCTTCAACAGGTAAAGGTAGAAAATTTTCTTTTATAGAGTCGGTTATAATATCTGATAAATTAATATTATGGACGACTCTCAAGATTGTTGTTTCAATAAAAAAAGACTATGAAACTTGTTTAAGCTCTCTGCTTTAGCCATAACCATGAAATGACATGAATAAAATGATGACAACCCCCTTAGAATGCGTTTCAGAACCAAGAATGTAAAATTATTGCTTGGTGTTGATTTGAGAAAAACAAAAACTAATTATAAAATTATGTTTTATATCCCAAAAGAATGGGAGAAAAACTAATTATAAAATTATTGCTTGGTGTTGATGCAGCTTGTAGATTTGTCAGATTATGTCTTTTTATTTTGCCAAAAGAATGGGAGAAAAACAAAAACTAATTATAAAATTATTGCTTGGTGTTGATGCAACTTGTAGATTGATCAGATTACATCTTTTTATTTTGCCTTTTCTAGGGAAAATTACATGAGCATTCCCTAACAGCATTCCCTAGCTATGACTTCGTCTGCCAATTGTTCCAGTAGTGAGATTAACAAAGAATGAACATGTGTGTGCAAATTTATAAACTGAAATATAATGAATTTTCCCTTGTTTGTCTCATTCAAAAAGTCAATAGGAAGACGTGCTCATGGATTGTTTTTTGAGGAGGCCAGTGGCTCCTTTTTTTCTCTAAATATGCTTCCACTTTCACTTTATGTTCACGCCACCAGGGTTCCATCTCTCTCGCTCTCTTTCTTCTAAATGTATGGTTTGTATGTCTAAATATAGAGAAATATACATTTATATGACAAAATAGATTGATAGTATTGGTTGCTGGGTGATGGTTGGATTGGGTGTTGGAGATTGAGTTGTGATGACACTCTCATGGGATTGAGGTTATGTATACATGGTGAACTATATATGTTTATACATGTATAGGAATTCCTATATATATATGAGATAGTGCAGTAGTGGTATGGCAGTGTGGTGGGGTGCAAGGAGGTATGGTGGTGACTGGCAATATATATTTAAGGCTTTGTTAGAGAGATATGGTAAAAAATGATAGAGAAAGACGGAGGGCACATGTTGGGTCTTGTACCATTGCCCAGTACTAGTCCTCAATAGTCTAGGGTGCTCGGAGGAGCAGACGTAACCTTTGGCTACAAAGTGATTTCTCTCAGACTTGTATTTTTGTGCTTGGCAGTCTGAGGCATTCTAATTTTGCACCAAGCAATGGCCCCTAGAAGAAAGGTAAAAAAAAAAAGTTAGGAATATTTATCTAGTTAGGGAGAAACGACTGATATGGCTGTTACTCTGAATTTAAAGGGGTTCCTCATTCTCTGTTATTTTGATTTATAAATGTGTCTCATATTTGAATCTAGTCCTGGGCATGTCATGCACAATTCTAATACACTGATTTTCCCATGCAGCATTCACCCTAATGCTCTCGAATATACATCTTTCGGGAAGCCAAATCCTTCTGTATTCAGGAATGCTGAAACTGTACTGATGGAAACCGTGCCTTCTTCATATCAGTCAGCAAATCATGTAACTGGTGGAAATCATGTTTTTAGAACCCTGTACATGATAGGAGATAATCCTTCAGTTGACATCAAAGGTGCAAAGCAGGTTGGTATCTCTAGAATGAATGAAAAATTATTTGTTTACTGCTTCATTTACATAAAGATATTTGAGGGTTTTTTGGAATGGAGTTCATGTTTTGCATTTCAGGCTGGACATCCTTGGTTTTCCATTCTGACAAGGACCGGGGTTTTTAAGGGAAAGAAAAATCATGCTGAGCATCCAGCGGATCTGGTTGGTGAACTAACCCTATATATTTGCTCTAATTTCAGTTTTAAGTTCCATTTCTCCTTAGAAACCATAATATTGTTACTTAGTACATTTGCTTCCCAAACATGAATCACTTTATTTGGTTTAGTTTTCAAAATTTGTTTTTGTTTTTTTTTCTGCTGCAAAAAATAGAAACTAGTTTGACGAAAATAAACATAAAAAAGATATTTTTATTATTTTTTTCCTCATAAAAAAAGAGAACCATATGAAAATGATTCTTTTTTTTTTATATTTTATTTCATGTTATTTACCAAACTAGTTTTTAGTTTTTTGAAAAAGGAAAAATAAAAAAACAAAACAGATTGGGCATGGTACTTTTTAGCTAAAGTTCATTTATTTATTTACAAGCTAAAGTTGCATATGTTGCCTGTGCAGGTTGTTGACACTGTTGAAGAGGCAGTGGACTATATCTTCAGAAAGGAGGGCATGTAAATTTACTCTTTTCTTTTCTTTTTCCTTTTTCCTACTTTTGGTCACACGGGTTGGAGGAGTTAATTATTTGGTGTACAAGAGAGAATAGTCAGGAATAATTCCCATTCTACCAAATAAAGGTGAACTAGCAAGCATTTGTTTGAGTCATTGGACTGCAAATTTAGCTTAAGATCACAGTGTGCATCACGTTTTTGTCGCTAATAGAACATAAGTAATTCGCAATTAATGATTTATTTTATTATTATTATTATTATATTTTATCAAAAGTTTATTTTTCCTTCTTCCTTTTATAGGAAACTGAAAGTGGAACACCCATAAGTTCAATTTCTTAGTTAAACCTCAATTGAAATATACTAATATATCCAAATTAGTCAAACACCCAACTTATTTATGAGAAAATTAGTTTAAGGTCCTTCTCTCATTTTTAGTAATGAGAGAGATTCACAATATTATTTTGTGATGTCTAAAATCTCTCACTCACCTCCATATATCTCATCTATCCAATCTGAGTTCAGCTTCACATTTCTCCACGCCAACTTCCAAAACATCTCTCTCTCTCTCTCTCTCTCTCTACACACATAAATACACACTTGTTTTGCTCAATTTCCTCGGCAGAGAATTGGTTCCGTGTCGGCAGTTCTGGAGGCAAGCAAAGACAGTTGCTCAGCGACGGACCTGAATTCTCCTCCAGTGAGAATAATGGCTCTTGTCGGAGATGGTAGCGTCTGCCCTCTGTTATCCGCAACATGGCTCAAAGTCATGGTCCACACAGTAAGGATCGTAGAGCAAAGTAATTCCAATTTCATATTATTATTGTTGTTTTTGTCAATTTCGACGAGAGTTTGTTTCGTGTCGACTTTGGATTTTGATTTATTTGACTTGTTAGCTGATGAACCTTTATGCAATGTGGAGATTATTACAACAAATAATGCCTAAAAATACTTGTAAAATTCTAAAGATGCAAATTTGAAAAAATTTCTCTGGTTTGGTTAAATTTTTTTTCTTTAGTTTAAAATTGTGAATAAACATAGAGAAATTTGTGGTTTGGTTAAAATTTCTCTAGTTTGGTTAAAATAATTTTCTCTGGTTTAAAATCATTGTGCTGAAATTTTTTTGGTTTGGTTAAAACAATTTTTTTTGGTTTAAAATTGTGAACAAATGCAGAGAAATTTGAGAACAAAGATGTTTGGTTCATTTTGTAGAACTAATTTTTTGAATTTTTTTTTGAAAAATTAGTAATTAGTTTGAGGTTCTTTCTCTTGTTAATGTTGAAGTTCTTTCTCTGGAAAGTCCAGAATTTCTCTAGAGAGTGAGAAGTCTAGAAAAATTTTAAGAATTTCTCTAGACCGAATTTCTCTGGAAAGTCTAGAGAAATTCTTTAGATCGAATTTTCTCTGAATTAATGTTGAGAGACCTTAGATATTATGAAAATATTGAATGCCCTTTATTCTATAAAATTTTAATATCAAGGATTCTACAAAAAAAATCCCTTTTATATTGTTTAGCTTTAGAAAAATATTTCATTTACACAATTTTCTCATCAACAATCTTCACAAATGAGGTGGCAAGACATAATACAAGTTTTATACCAATTGGAGTGTGAAATTTTGCTTGCCACCTCATTTGTTGGGGAGGAAAATTGTGTGGATGTAGGATTGTTGTTAACTTTATTATGAACATAAATTATGTATTACTACTAGTTAGGTTAAAAAAGTCACTCAAATCATTAAACTGATTTTTATTTTTATTTGTATGAAATATAAAAAAAAAATTATACTAATAATTTGTTTAGAAAGTGATTTATTTAGTGATTTTTTTTTAAAATTAAAATGAGGTGAAAAAAATTAAACTGATTTGGAATGATTTTTTGACTTTTTTATAAATTAAAAAAGAAGAAGAAGAAGAAAGTACAAGAAGTATGAAGAATAGGAACAATTTTTTGACTTTTTAACTATATTAGTCACTTTCCAAACACTCTAAATAATATCCTAGTCATATAGGGAACTTACTTTTGTTTATGGATGAACTAGGAAATAAAATATAGGGTAAACTATCAACTAGTCTCATTAAGTGAATTTAAATACCAACAAATCCTTTTGACTCTTTCAATGCACTAATAAATCTTATGTTGCCTATGTTGCCCTCGTTAAAATATTATCAAACAAGTTCTTTTATCTTTCTCTCACTCTTGCAAATCGTTTCATATTCTCCTCTCTCTCTCTCTCCATTGTTTCTCTAAAACCTTTACACTACCATAGTTCATTATTACCACTACTACTGCCGTCGCTGTCATCTAGCCATCATGACCACTGCCATCGTCATTATCCAACCATCACCACCATCGCAATTGTCATCTTCTACTCGCTACTATCGTTGTCCATTTGCTACCGCCATCGATCGACACTCGAAATCCACCATCGTTGTTCACCAACGGCATCAACCATCACTGACCTACATCCTATGTCTCCGATCTCTATTCTATTGTTGCCGATCCACTGATCTAGTTTTTCAATAGTAAAATTGACTCCAAAATGTCTCCAAGCAACAATATTTTTTTAGATCTTACCCTTCACCCCCCTCTCTCTCTCTCTCTCTTTTTAAAAACATATATGTTGTTCAATGATACATTTATAAGTTGCTTGCTGTGTATATGTACAAGTGAGAAGAAGTATGAATGTAAATGTGAATTGAGTAAATGACGTCTATTTTTATTTTTATTCTATACAAATTAATTAGTGATAAATTTATCACTAAATGTATATTTAATTACCATTGTGGCTATGCTAGAATTTTTTTATTAATGCATTGAAAATTTATCACTGATTTTATTCAATATGCTGTGAATTGTTGCGGTGCTAAACTTTTGAGTGATAAATTTATTACTGATTTTGTTCAATATATTTGTTGTTGATAGATGTTATTTTTGTTGAAATAATTCAAAAAAATAGCCGGAAACTATCACCGAAGGGGGTCTCCGGCGCCTAAAGTGATTGCTAACTGAAGAGGAGAGAGTCATAATAATGTTGATAATAAGGATGAAGGTGACAGAATAGTATTTAAGACATTGATAGGTGAAAAAGAGTAAAACTTATAGGTAAATAAATCTGCTCGATAGAACTAGTCCGTAAGTGCTCCTAAAATATAAACTTGATATTGGGCAGCGCAGAGCTAGGCTTGGGAAACTATTTCAAAGTTTTGGGAAGAATTTTTTTTAGTTTTTTTGGCTAAAATAACATTAGAAGACAAAATAGGCTAAAATAGTCAATAAGACAAAATGTCACATCAAACCCATAATCATTTCACTTTTTTTCTCATAAATATCTCATTCAATTACAAAAAAATCCAAATATCTTCCTAAACACAAAAATTTTAGCCTCCTAAAATAGTTAAAAATTAAAATAGTTTGTTAAAATAGCAACTTCTCAAACACCCACATTATGTAATATGGGCCCAGCTTGAATCCAACCCTGCCTGGTCCATGATACTGTTTCTCCCTCACAATGCCCTCACATATTCCAAAGGTCGCATCAGATAAATTTCCAGAATGAAAGGTAATAACAGGAAGACTCATTTTGGCTACAAAACTAGTATGGGTCTTCCCTCGGTGCAGTGAAAGGGGAAATACAGAGTACAATCCAGAGTTGAACAGAAAATGTTCGAATAAAAATCCAATATGTAACCAGAGATTTTGCAAGGGGTTACAATTTTCTTCTGTTCCGTGTCAGGACTAAAATTTGATCACTTGTTTAGGTTGACTCCCTAGTTTTCCAAGTGCCTTATCTAATGCTGTGTGGAAATCGCTGAAAGGAACTAGCTCCGTCCTGCAAAGAGTGAGACCTTGTGAATATATATATATATATATAAACATCAATACACGATGGGATGACAATAGAAGCACAATCTCACAGAAAATCAATTAAACATGTCAAGCAATTTATAATTTACTTTCACTACCCAAGCAAAGCACCCTGTTTTCAAGTTAAACCAATGTACAATCTCAAACCTCAACAAAATATTTGAAACCAGTTGCTGAAAATATGAAAAAGCCCTTTATAATCATTAGTGTCACCCAGTAGTGAGAACAATTTAAATTAAAAATTTTGACCTAGTAATCACGACCCCCGGGGGGAAAAAGAAGAAAAAAACAAAAGACCTAATAAACAATTCAGAAAAACTTAGACAACGCATTGGTGCTTTACTTGAAACTTCATAGTTACTATAAACAGATAACATGACTCAGAAAAACGCTACGCATGGAATACTGTCTCAAACAACTGCCGGTTTCAGAAAATGCAACACTGATGACAATTTTCAGTAGCTGATCATCCTGGTTTTACCCATTTGGGCAATAAGCCACATACCAGGTGAAAAACTAAAATGAACAGCATTTAAAAAAAAAAAAAGAAAAAAAGTGGGTATTGACAATCTCCAGAATGCAGCTATCGTCACATGTAATATCCTTCTTTTCCCTCTGAAAGATAAAGGGGAAGCGAGAAAAAAAAAGAAACATAAACATACTCGTATGTTAATTTTCCCTCACGCACTAGGCTCAAAAGATAATCTATCAATTTTCTGCATTCCTTCGCTTTATCAGAAGTCATCCATTTCTGCAACCAGAATCCCCTCAAGGAAAGGTCCTACAAATATAGAAATTTGAAAAACGTTAACGGAAAACAATATCATTAGCTTGGCACTGAAAACACTATAGAAATATAGAAATTTCTCACTCGGCACTGCTTTGATATGCTTCAACCATTAGATCTGTGCATTAGTAAGTGGTGGATTCCACCACATCTATGCACAAGTTTTACACATACACTTAAGCATCATCTAAAATGATGAATCACGAATGTAAGACAATATCATAAAATAAATTACTTGTGTAACTCAACAGTGCTCAAAATGTAGCTTGCTATGGTATTAACATTTTCTAGTCACCTACCCAAATACACCCTGGTCTAATTTTAGCAATCCCCATCCTTCAACATCCCCATACAAGGTACATGTATCACAAACACAATTTTCTAATTGCCAAGAACCTGCTCTGTGAAATCAAGACATGAAAATTTCCATGACTTACCTTGAAAATAAAAGATGAGGTTGATACTGTAATAGGTTTTTTGGACATTCCACCATATGTTACCATAGTTCCTCCCTGCCTGAAAACAAAAATGCATGAATGTCCTATGAATCTAGAATTTACAACAAAATTATATCAAGAATTTAGCATTGCATGTCTGACCTCAAGAATTTAAGAACCAATGAAGCAGCATTGCCCCCAACACAGTTGAATCCAAGAGCAGGTTCAGGTATGTTTGCCTATCAATACATGAGATCTGAGCATAAATAACAATAGTGAAACACAAATCGAATACGTAACATACTCTACAATAACACCAGACACATGAGACAAAATAAACATCTCCCTACTTTAGACATTATCAACTATGATAAGTTGATAAACGATACCAAGAGAGCTTTGACATTCTTCACTTCCAGTTGGCTCTCAGTATACACTTCATCTGCACCAAGTTTCTTGAGTTTTTCTTTTACTTTGTCTGATCCAGCCCTGTAATAAATACAGGCAATTTCTGTCATGATTTGCTCTACTGAAACCAGATTTATGTGTACAATTAATGGTAGATCTCCAGTCTGTTAAGAGATATATAGTCAAATATGCATCCTATGCAACTCAACTATATCGGGCATTTGTCAGCTTGCGAAAATCACAAGGGATAGACCAATTTGATTTCAATTTCTACTTAGTGTTTACACTAAAATTCTTTCTGGGGAAGAACTTCCCTCGTCAAATCCCCACCCCCACCCAAAAAAAAAAAAAAAATTGATGACCCCTAGTGGTTCTCAGTATAAGCCTCAATACAAAACAATTTCAGGAAGGCGAGTATATCCAGTGGGTTGCAAGGGCGGCAAAAGCAAAGTACAGGGTGATCACATATGTTGTTGTGAGAACCACTTAGCTTGCCATGTAGTTTTTAGCCATGTGTACACAATCAAAAATAAATAAATAAACAAAGCTTCACTTATAAGGAATCTAGAAAACTGTAATTGGTGATTCATCACAGAACACTCCAGTATGCATACAGCCGTGTACTCCTAGACAAAATGCTAACATTAAGGAAGCATGAAACCAAAACGCATGCCAAAATCATTAAGAATACACCCAAACAGCATCCCAGAAAACAAAGGATTATGCGTGTCCACCTAAGGGTTCAAGGCATCTTATCAACAACAATACCAAACCAAACCAGTCTTGGACTAGCTTCTTTACCCGCGCTCGTCCAAAAAAACGCGGAAACCTTTGCCCATTTTTCACCGCACCCAGGCGTCGATGCGGCGCCCCTTGCTCACTTTTCGAAACACCCGGAGGCAGGCGCAACGCGTCACTTGAGGGGAACGACTTAGCATTTAAACGACAATAGAATAGTTAAAAAAACTGGCCTCTAAGCTTATGAGAAAAGAAAAATCTGAGGTTTGGGAAGGGCATGTGGGATATGTTATCAATCCTTTTAGTTTGTAACAGCTTCTAGCAAAATGCAAAAAAGCAAAAAAGCAAAAATAAAATAACCAGAAGGCCAAGAGTAATTAGAATAGGTCACCTGGCTTTAAACTTTAACTTGTCAGACAAAACAAAAACAGATTTCAAGAATATTATGAAAGTTATTCCATTATGTTTTCTACTATGATAAAAGCATATTAACCAAATTTCAAGAAAAACGTAGACCTTAACAAGAGACAACAAACACATGCATACAGACAAGAGCACACATAAATTCCATTTTATATATCTAAGCTTAAAAAGAGCGTGTATTGATAAACCTAGATGACCATAAGCTCAAACTTTTGTAGTAACTAGTAAGCTACCCAATAAGCACCTGTCCCTTATTATATTGATGCTACGGATGCCTCGATTTCTAGCAAGCTGAATAATGCACTGCCCCACAATGCTTGTGGCCCCATTTTGCACAATAGCATCTCCTGTTGAAGTTCATATTCAGATTATTCAGGGGGAAAGCAAGGAAAAAAAAGAACAAAGAAAAAGAAAACAAGAGTAATAGTAGAAGGAAAGATTCAAAGGCAATGGCAGAACCTGATTTTAGACTGGCAAAGTCCTCAAGCATTAGTAGTGCAGTCAAAGGATTAACAGTAATTGTGGCAGCATATTCTATTGGTGTGTCTTTATCAATTTTGTGCCAGACACTCTGATCTTTTATGACATATGTCTGCCATGTCCCTAAGCAGAGGGAAATTTTGTCATGCTCTATGATCAATAAAATCACGTATAACATGCCTTGATGCAAAATTTCTCACATGTGATTACGCCAAATGTGCGTGTGCTCTCTTACTTAATCATTTAGGCTAGTGACAAGAAAATTGAAGGCAACCGTAGTTCACAGCCCAATAATCATCCACTATCATGACCACAATAAACATTATAATTTGTAAAATTCCAAATATTTAAATTGCATTTAATGTAGAGAAGCAGAATAAGAAAGAGTAAAAAAAGAAATGAATGACTTTTTTTTGTAATGTCAAAATATAAACATTTGCAAAGAACGTACCAGAAGAAGGCGGAGATGGGATGACCCAATCGCCAGGAGAGATACCCTTAATGGCAGATCCTAAAGAGTGTACCTGTCCAACCCCCTCGTACCCTCCAACTGATGGCACTTGTGGCCTCACCGGGTATACGCCTACAATGCAATTACGATTTCATAAGCAGAGTTGCTCACTGCAAAAAATCAAGTGTGCATTTGTGTACATATACATACATATATACATCTACTATCTATTATATTATATAAAGCAAGCACACAACTCACTTGGTGTGAATGCCTATGTCATGCATTTTTTGATTTTTCAATTTTTTACCTCCCTCATCTACATTCAAATTCCTTCTTTCAGATGACGGTTACATCTATCATCTATTTCTACACACACATCACGCATTCTACATGTGGTTAGGTTCGTGTCTATGTATCTATGTATATGAATGTGCCTCTTCATTTGTATCATCCGATGATTGGCAGCTGAGAAACTGGCAAACTTGATTTTCTATGCTTCTCAAGAAGTAAAAACTCAACACAACAATGTCACAAAATAACAGTTATAGTTTCAGGATCATATAAATAAATCACGTTTCTTTCCTAATGCACGAAAAAACTGAAATCCAAAATCAAAATTCCCTGCTTCAAACATTTTCTTAGCAACCAAACATTGCCTAATTCAAATCTTCAATTCTCATCAAAACAACAGCAATAGAACAAAGCCAAACAAGACAAAATTTACACATATAAAGTGAAATAGATAAAGCAGAAGTGAGACCTTCGATTCGGTTAATATCAGAGGGATTGATAGGAGCAGCGAGCATTTTAACGCACACATCGGTTTCTTTGAGCTCAACTGGTGGAACCTCAACTACTCTGCACATAATTTAACAAAGTAGAGACATTAAGTAGTTTAAGTGTTGACAATTAGAGAGTGATTTGTGAAACATGAAGAGCCATAGAGAGAGAGAGAGAGAGATGGACCTGGTGACGGTGTCGGGAGGTCCGTGGTGGTCGTAGAGGACAGCCGTGGAGGGCGGCGACATGATGGCGGAGAAAGGTCGGATGGAGAAGGCATGGTGAGGAGTACGGTGGCGGAGAAGAGAATGAGAGTGGTTGCAGAGCGATGATGATGACATTATTGACCATCCATGTAGAGCTTTTAGGGCTACTAACCTCACCGACGCCATTCCCAATTCGATCCAACCTTTTTTCTTCTCTCTCTCTCTCTCTCTCTCTCTCTAACCTGCTGAAACAGAAATCAACCGAATTTTCCCGATTTACGTCTCCTTTCTGTTCCCCTTCTCTTCAGTCCGTTTTGGTCTCATATTAGGGAAAAATTGGGCCATTTTGGGAACATATTAAAAAGTCAATTTTTTTTGACTTTTTAACTTTTTAAGTAAAAAAAGTCAATTTTTTTATTCAAAACAAATTAGGTCAAGTTTGATAATTTAAAAAAAAGTTAAAAAGTCAAAAAATTATCACTATTCATCAAAAGTCAAAAAGTACGGCTATACAATTCTCAATCTTAATTTTTTCTTACACACTAATTTATATAATTTTTTAATAAATATTTTTTCATAAAAAATCAAAAAGTTAATCCAAACAATCATATTTTTTCCTCAACTTCTTAGTCCAAAAAGTCAAAAAGTACACTTATTTAGGATATCCCAAACAATCTCTAATTTTTTGCCAATAAAGCTACCAAAAAAATCAAAATATAAAAAAATTAACTTTTTACCAACTTTTCAAAACACACAGCTCCATCCCATATAATTTATATTTTATAAATATATATATATATATGTGTGTGTGTTTTGGGTAATATATTATTATAATATTTTCAGTTTTTAAAATTTAAAATTGGATTTTTTTTTTCAGTTTAAAAATTAATAATATTTTCAATTTTGAAATTAAAAAAATTGATAATTTTTTTAGTTTTACACAAAAATATTCCATATAATTGTTTTGTTAATTAATTTTTTTTTTCAATTTTCTCAGTTCCGTAATTAAGATATTTCTCAATTTATTTATGTGTGTTTATATGTGAAAGAAATACTTTATTTGTTTAACAATTTAATATAGGGTTAGAAATTAAGAAAATTATAAATAAAAAATTAATATTAATCTTGTTTGATAGATTTTATTGTGTTGATTGTAGAAATATAATTTTTATAAAAAATAAATGTATATTGTAAAAATTATGATCTTTTAAAATTTTAAAAATTAAAATAAATATCACATCACTACTTTTTTTTTTTAAAATAAATAATTATGAACTATTATGGTTTGAATGATAATTTTGTCAATTCAAAATTAATGAAACTTGAATAAGTAACGAATTTTATCTAACAAAATAAGATTTATGTATAAATATCTCTTATTTGAATTATTTACACTACCACTTACAAGAAAGGTGTCCATACCTGACCTGATGGCCAAGGAGTTGTGAAATAAAGTAATGATGAGAACCCCAATCCTTGAAGAAGATCACAGAAAGGAGGGGACCCAAATCCAGTCTATATTCAATATGAATAAGCCTAGGACCCAGGGTCTCAGATTTTGAAAAGAATGAGTGTGAGGTGAAAATTGAAATTGTGCATTGTGAGTCAACATGTAGACATATTGATGTTTATAGATAATTTTTGACTAATATTATTTTGGTTTGTAGAATCCCTCATTCAATATACTAAAAAATTTTCACTCACCTTTTTTTTGGTGATCTTTCCAAAAAGAAAAACAACTCCGATTGGTAGCTCGAAATATCAGAGGGTCGAATAGCTCGAAATCTCAAAATCACGTCGTTTTAGGCTTTTTTTTGTATTCTCTTACCGGTAAGAGAATATTTTCGACCCATTTGACCTTTCACTTTCGAGCTACCAGCCATTTTCCAAAGAAAAATATCTCTCAGAGAACATAGCATATTTTTAAACAACAACTACCAAGCAAAGAACCCATCAAATACACGGCATCTTTTTTTAATAACAACAAATAGTAAATTTGAAGAACACAGAGAAGAGAATAGAAGAGTTGGTCGCAGTTCGCCACCGATTGAGTAAAATTATGTTGTGTGGGACTGCTGCTAGCAGCTGGAAAGGAAGAAAAACAAAAATATAGGGGGGTCAGGTGCTCTCGGTTCAAGGGACGGCTGATTATTTTTTTAATTATTCCACCTGTGTTCTTTCGCTAAAAATTACACATTCGTTCAAAATTATTCGGGCAGACCCGACGGTGAGACAATACGAACGGATTCATAATCACGCACCACTAGTTCAATCGCACCCTTCATCTTTAAAAACAATCAGGGGTCAATTTTGTTGATTTCAATTGTTAAATTATTAGTGCCTCTCAAGATTCATAAATAATAAAAAAAAAATTGCAAAAAATTTTAAAATTTAATCCTTGTAACAAAATAAACATAATGTGTGGCTTAGATTATCTTTAGGTGGGACCTTCATTGCATCAAATTTGAATCATGGCACAACTATTTTGATGGTCAAAATCTGATAAAATATTCTATTTTTGTCAAGAAAAGGAAGTCCATTGTTAAAAACAATTTGTACATCTACAACGAAATTACAACAATACAGGAGAAAAACAGGGGTGCCGATAAATATAATGGCTTGACCTCCATATCCAAATAAGATTGGCACATAGATAAAAGTAAATCACAGCAATCCTAAAGGTCCAAAACAAAAAACTAAAAGAAGCAATAATTGCGCTTACATCACCAACACCAAAAACAGACCAAACACAAGCACAAAAAATAAAGATCACCTTAGTCCATCAAGAGACACCAGCAAATTACTATACAGATTGCTATGTAGGAGTTACGGTACTTTTGTTGCAAGTTACCAAGAGCCCTCCCAAATGCTGATGAAGCCACAAAGTCCCACACAATATTGGTTTAATGGGTTTTACTGCTCATATTTGTTATCAATGTAGGGTCTTAACATGAGATGATAAATAAAATACAATAAGGAAAAAAAAAAAAACAGTCGTTATAGCATTAGTGCTCTACCTTATAACTGCATCAGCTATTGCACGGCTACGTGGTATCTGGAAGTGATCAGTTAAGCCAAAATGTGCCATGAGAAGCCAGACATGAGTGAGAAGTTCCCCTCCTCGCCTCAACTGCTGAGCATGAAGTCTTCCTTTACATTGGCTCGCAGCATGACACAACATTTCCAGCCAAACGTCAACAATTAACCTCCATTTGTCGTTCATATTTTCAAGTTGTGATGCAAGCTTACAAGCATGGAATATCACTAAATTGCTTTTGTCCCCTCCTTCTCCTCCTTGGACAGAAACCATGTCTTTTGTATTGATCACTTTTACCAACATCTCCGAAGCATCCTTGCAACTGATGTCCAAAACAGATTTGGAAAGTTGTTCTTCAATGAAGTCACCAAGCTCCACATAAATGTCCCTGAACCTGATGTGCCCCATCCCAATTGGCAACATATTAGGATGCTCGACCAGTAGGTAAAGCATGTATCTTGACAAGGACTTGCCTCTTTCTTGCCATATCGATCCTGCACTTTCATAATCTGCCTTTTTAATGTAGTCAAGGTTGCACCAGATTTCTGTAGCAAGGTGCCATATGAGGATGCTTTGGTCAAACTCCAAGTCCTCGATACTCCACTTAAGATCGTCGTGGACGTTCCTCCTTGTTATGCAAAAATCAAATGGTTTCAGTCACATAACAATAAAGAGTAACAACAAAAACATACAAATACAGGATACATGGTTTAGCAATATAACTACACCTGCAGAAGGGAGGGGGATCCAATAATGCCTAATAAAGATTACAACGTGACAGGGATGACAAAGCTTAGAACCTCTTAACTTAGCCGCTTAACAATTGGCGCACTCTCACATTAAAAGCCTACCAAAAAAAATACAATAAATACCTCCAATAAACTCTAGGCCTCTGTAAAAAGACCCTTCACTATTAATTTGAGTATATAATGAAGAAATATAACTTACTTTTCAATTGTGCGGCCTCCCCTACGACCGTACAAAGATTTAAGATGTGTGTCATAGCCATTCTCTTCCGCCCAAGGCCTAATTTCCTTTATCTCCAGGAAAATGGCATATTTTAAATCGTCAGCTTCGTTTATTGACTTTGGAGTACCCTTATATTGATAAATCTCTAGAAACTCGTCAATGTCGCCTAACGTCTTCAAGATTCCACGAAAGGGCAAGGTTTTCTTTTTTGGAGGCTCATTCGGTGGAACGGGTTTTTCTCTCAATGAAAAGCTCAGTAGGCTAAACTGCTCCATGGAATTTGACCACCTGCAAATATTGTACCAGCGTTTAAGTGGTAAATTACGAACACAATTGATGGCTCGTAAGACTCTGACTTTCTTATGCCTAATTAGCCAATGAGCAGTTTGGTCAGAGAGAAGTAGTTCTACAACTGCATATAACTCCAACAGAAAAGCAAATCCCAACAATACCATAGTTATGGTAAGGTCAACCTTGGAGGAGTAGTTGTGATGTTTCTTGTTGACCATCAACACCTCATCCAAAGACACCATCACCCACACGAAAAGGGTCAGAAAGATCCCAATGATTCGTCTTGCAATCCCCCATCTAGTGTACATAACCTTCGCCTTGGTGTAGAGCAAATCGTATATTAACCCGAGTTCAATCTCAGTTATCTTAAAAGCCTTTTTAGAATCCATGTTGTCCCTTTTGAAGATTGCCTTGCTTGCATCGCGATCTTGAAACCCAAGTATGAGATCCGCGAAGAGACGCCTCACCATCTCAAGAAAGTGGTAGGCAGTAAGTAATTGATTTGCATCATTATGTCCCGGTGATGATGTTACTGGAACCTCAACCTCGACCTCAAGCACCTGATGTGTGGTCAGATGGAAACCCTCAAGCTGCTTCAGTTTACATTCCTTTATTATTTTGGATTCATTGGTAGGGATATCATTGATTGAGTCTCTAAAATTGTTTTCACTTGCCCAATAAAGGACCCAAACTCTTTCACAGTACTTGACTAGTCCAAAACAGAACATCACAATGAAGAGTAGGGAAACAAGAGAGCCTGTCCAGGACAATATTAATATGTACAATGTGGTCATTGCTTGCGTAACTACTCCAAATGAGTGCCTTTTCCACAGCTCATTGTCTTCCAAGGAGTAAGCAGTAATGGTGTCTGTGCCACCTGTTGGGGATTAATGCGTGAAAAACATTTAAATATGAAATTTACTTTCACAAAACATATGAACACAAAGAAAAATGAAATCACAAATTAAATAACAACAATAGTATAGGAAGAAAAATAATTTGTTAGATTTGTGAGAGGTGCAAGAAGTTATTTAAAGTTATGTTTGTCTTTCTTTGTTCAAGTTTTAGCGGACGAAGATACAACTCAAAATCTCATAGTACATGGCAATTGCACGATCGGTGACAATTAGGAGTGCCGATTCTATACCGGATTACACAAAAAATTAACTATATACTGATATATAAAGTGAGGGAACCATAGGATGTTTCTCACATGTTAGAATGTGAAGGTTAGCTCTTATAAGTTAATTTATTTAGCTTATTTGATTAAAAATAATTAATCAATGGTGTTTGACTGTAATGTTTTCTATTACGGCTATTTGACTTTTTTTAAACAAACTTATTTGGCCAAAAATAAATGATAAATGAGATTTTCTTAAGTTACAATTTGTAAGTTTTTCTTAATTTATTTGAAACTTTTAAATACGAATGAATAAAATAGACCCTTGTCTTTTACCTTAATTATAATTTTGTGGGAATCTTAGACATTTGTCCAAAAAAAAGTTGTGTCACAACTTTTTTTAATCAAAGAAGTTCATCTCTTTTTCTTTTTTTTTTAATTATTATTTTTGTTTACAAGATTATGAAAAGTTACACTAAACATATTTATAACTTATTTTAAATCTTTTAAACTAATAATCTAGAAAACTACATGTGGAGGGATAAAAATATTGACCCAAAGCCTAGAGGTAAAAACATTCGCCCAAAGCCCAAGCCCAGCCAAGCAACACGAATCAAGAGAAAAGCTCAAACCATTGATAGGTCCGTTAGATGAAAGGACAGTGTCACGTGACCAAAGCCTGAGCAAAATCATCCTCTAGAAGAAGATTTGCAGAATGCAGGGATGCCCTTAGATCCATTCATAATCAACGGCAAGGATCACAATCGTCAGAGATAGGGGCATAGGCCCAACTTACTTAAACGACACAACCATCCGATGAACTTAATCGGATGGATAGTGCAATCGGCAAGTTGGCCACTAACAATTGACATAATCTAAGCCGCACACAGCAAGATGATCCAATGACAAAAGATCAAAGTAACCTGGCCACTTGCCCAACCAAAGCCTGGTATTAACCAAAGCCCTTAGATTAAGATGCTAATCCAACGACCGAGGTTCAAGACAATAACACTATAAAAGGAAGAGTAAAGAAAAGAGAAGGAGGTAACAAAAAACGAAAAGAAAATCTTTCTTCCTAACCAAATACTATATGGCCGATCATAATTCTAACTTGATCATCGGATGGTCCTCTCAACTATCTCTGGTCGGAAGTGATCACTAACGAGTTGGTTTCTCTTTGCAGAGTAAAGGAAGAATCTTTCTACCTTCCACAATTGACCAAGATGAGTACATATCCTTCTTTAGAAAAGATACGAAGCGATCATTAAAACGCATCGATCAGGAATGTAGCCAGTCTAAACTTCAGCCATGATTCGGAGGTGGCATCCAAGGACTCAGAAAGAATAATCCCTCCACCAGATAATGACAATCAACAAACTCCATTCGTAGATCGGTTAGTGGCACAACTCAAAGCCCTTAAAAAAGAATTGCGCTTGGCCTGAAGTAAACCTGACGCCCGAGTAAAGACTGTCGATAATTGCAGGAAGATCGGTCATCATGGAACCACCAGCCAAACAGCCAGTAGCCACCCTAATCGGACGTAAAAAAAATGCCAGGTCACTAGAAGAGAGGACTCCCAGGATTATTAGAAAAGAGGACTCCCAGGATTACCAGAAAGAATGACTTGTGGAGCTAGCTTGATGGATGAACGGGGAGCAATCCTAATCCCGTTAAAAGAATGCTCTTCATAGAAGAACTAGCTTCGCCATTCTCTCAAGCAATAGAACGTGTCGACCCACTGAAGAGGTTGACCCCTCTGAAATTTAACTTATACGATGGTAAAGGGGATCCGACTAGCCACATTCAGCATTATACTCAAGCCATGACATTATGGAGCAATAATGGTCCAATCATATGCCAAATGTTCTCCTCGAGTTTAGGAGAAATGGCACTTCGATAGTACTATAAACTAGAAGCCCAAACAATCAATGACTGGAAGCTGTTGTAACAAGCGTTCATCTCACGCTTTATCACCAATAGCAGACCACCAAAAAAAGTGGATGTACTTCTCACAATGAAAAAAAATGACATGGAAAGCCTACGAGAGTACGTCAGTAGGAATTGGACGGCCTATAACGAGATTAATAACTGTAATGAACAATTAGCAGTTGCCTTATTCAAGTTAGGATTGCAGCCTACAAGTAAGCTCTGACAGTCCTTAACGAAAAAGCCACCTACTGACGTGGGTAGTTTAATGAGGCAAGTAGAACAACATTGCAAGATTGAAGACGACCTATGAAGGACCGAAGAGTCAAAACCTGCCCAGCTCCCACCAAGGGCTCTAAGAAAGGACGAGAAGAAGCCTCTTGACATCAAAAGTAAGGAATCAAACGCCATCACCAAACAACCAAAACTAAGGAAAGAGCCTTTCTGAGCAATCAACATCATTTTCACTGAGCCAATATACTGTCTGACGACAAAAAATCTAGAATGAACCCTACTTTTCTTGGCCTCTAAAGATGATCGGGGATCCATCTCTTCGAAATTGTAGGTTACAATATTCCTACCACAAGGATTACAGACATCTTACAGAAGATTGCAAAGCATTGAAGCAATTTCTAGAAGAATTGGCACAAATCGGGCATTTACGATCTTATATCGACCACTCCCCTAATCAAAAAGAGAAAGGAAAGAACAAAGGTGGCGACGTGCAACCGATGACAACTATCAACATGATATATTCAGTCCCCCTAAAAAGCAAACAACATATCATGGAAAAGTGACGACTTTATCAAAAGTCCCCACCAAAAGAATGTGTTGTTCCAAATCAAGGATCACATTCTCCGATGAAGATTTGACATGGGTTCATCATCCCCACAATGATGCTCTAGTGGTAACCTTGCAAATCGGGGGATTCACTATTAAAGGATATTGATAAACCAAGGAAGTTCTTCGGAAATCATGTATTATGAGCTCTTCAAACAATTGGGACGATCCCTTTCAATTTTAGTCCAGTTTTTCCCTTGGGAAAAATCTTCTTACCAGTAAAAGCTGGTGCAACAGTTCAACAAATTGAATTTCAAGTGGTAAATGTGCTGTCCCCATATAATGCCATAATGAGAAGAGCATGGCTTCACCAAATGGGGGTTGTCCCATCCATATTCCACCAGGTTGTACGCTTTTCAAAAGGAGACAACATAAGGAAAATAAGGGGAGATCAGATAATAGCAAAACAGTGCATGGCTGTGTCTACCACAAAGCAAATAATTCAAGAAGTTTGAACGCTTGAGTCATAAGAAGATAAAGTCAACACCCAGCCTAGTGATAAAAGTGCCGAAGAGCTTGAAAAAATACTGATCGGCCCCACAAATGAGGAAAGGTTCTTTCTCGTAGGAAAGGGTCTTCCCTCAGAAGAAAATAAGCAATTAATCCACTTCATATTTCGATATAAGGATGTTTTCTAATGGACCCCATATGAAATGGAGGGAATCAACCCTAGGGTGATGTGCCACAAGCTCAACGTAAATCCAGGCTCGAGGTTAATGGTACAACGGATTAAAAAATGCAAGGGCTACGTATCAATAGCTAGTTACAAAAATGTTTAGTAAACAGATTGGTCGTAATCTTGAAGTCCACATTGATGATATGGTGATCAAATCACAAGAAGCCAAGGATCATCCAGTTAATCTCTAGGAAACATTTGGGATATTTCAAAAATTTAGGATGAAGCTCAATGCGGCAAAATGTGCCTTTGGGGTTGGATTTGGGAAGTTCCTCGAATACATCATTACTTATCGAGGAATAGAAACCAACCTCGACCAAATCCAAGCACTGCTCAATTTAACACCTCTCACATTAGTAAAAGAAATCCAGATGCTCACTAGAATGGTAGTGACACTTAACAGATTCATCATCCAATCATCAAATCGGTGCCGACCATTCTTCCAATTAACAAAGAAGAAAGCTCAGTTTGAATGGACTTACAAGAATTGAAAGCCTACCTGGGCAAAGCACCCCTACTCACAAGCCCCAAGGGAGGGGAAAAGTTATATGTATACCTTGTCGTATCCGATCATGCTGTTAGTTCGGCACTCATCAGGGAATATTCGAATGGGCAATCACCGGTCTTCTACATAAGCAAAACATTGCTCGATGTAGAAACCATGTATTTGCCTTTGGAAAAACTCCTTTTGGCACTTGTCATAATATTCAAAAAATAGTGACATTATTTCTTGGCCCATCCCATCATTGTTTATTCCGAACATTCACTTAAACGGGTCCTCCACAAGCCAGATACATCAGAAAGAATTTCCAAATGGCCTGTCAAGCTTTGGGCAATACGACATCTAATTCAAACCATAAACTGCAATCAAGGGACAAGTCTTGGCAGATTTTGTGGCAAAACTCTCGCTAAAAGAAGAAACTAGAATAGAGGATGGGTTCTCGTTAGGAGTATCATGGACCATGCGTTGCGATGGGGCCTCCAACAACAAAGGTACAAGAATAGGGTTTGTACTAACCACGCTCAACAAAGAGGCAATAGAATTTTCTGCTTGGCTGAACTTCTCTTTCACCAACAATGAGTGTGAATATGATGCTCTCATTAATGGGCTCACAATTGAAAAATTGTTAAGGGGTAGACTCTATAAGCATTCAATATGACTCACAATTGGTCACAAAGTAGATGAACAAGCATCAAAAGAATAATGAAATATTTGGCTGCAGCCAAGAATGCAGCAAAGCAGTTTTCTTTGTTCAAAATTCAACAAATAGGGTAGGATCAAAATAGTCATATGGACGTATTGGCTAGCCTAGCC